GTCTCTAGAGGATGCTGGCATGTGTGTCTGAGTGGCCCCCACGGGAAGACCCGCCCTCAGTGAGGGCAAGCACCAGAGAGAACAGACGGTGGCCCAAGGGGAACAGGAACAGAGGCGGGGCGGTCCGGCCTCCCTTTTCCTTGAACTAGGACACATCTTCCTCCCTTGGGCATCAGACTTCAGGCATTCTGGCCTTGGGACCCCAGGACTTAAACCAGCACTGCTGCCCTCCCCCACTCCCCACCTCCTGGATTCTCAGGCCTTCATCTCAGACTGAGATTTTCAACGTCTGCGTCCCTGGTGCCGAGGCTTTTGGACTCGGACTCAGCCACACTATGAGCATCCCAGGATCTGCACCTTGTAGACGGTTTGTGGGACTTCTCAGTCTCCGTAATTGCTTGTGCCATTCTCCCCAATTAATCTTCCTTCCTTCCTTCCTTTTTTCCTTCCTTCCTTTTTTCCTTCCTTCCTTTTTTCCTTCCTTCCTTTTTTCCTTCCTTCCTTCCTTCCTTCCTTCCTTCCTTCCTTCCTTCCTTCCTTCCTTCCTTCCTTCCTTCTTTCCTTCCCTCCCTCCCTCCCTCCCTCCCTCCCTCCCTCCCTCCCTCCCTCCCTCCCTCCCTCCTTCCTTCCTTCCTTCCTTCCTTCCTTCCTTCCTTCCTTCCTTCCGTCCCGAGTAGCTGGGACTATAGGCGCGCACCACCACACCCAGCTAATTTTTGTATTTTTTAGTAGAGATGGGGTTTCACCGTGTTGGCCAGGATGGTCTCGATCTCTTGACCTTGTGATCCTCCTGCCTCAGCCTCCCACAGTCCTGGGATTACAGGCGTGAGCCACCGCGCCCGGCCTCATTACCAGTCCCCCAGATGGTGAACTTCTCAAAGTCCCAGGTCATGGCTCTAGCTGGTGGAGTCACCAGGCGAGATCCTGAATGAGTGAGAGAGTCTCTTCTCTTGATCGGGTCATCCATCGCTAAGCACACTTTCTGGAGAATTCATTCCCTTTAGGCTTGGTGTTCATTACCCGTGAGAGTTCATTATCCTTTATCCTTCTGGCTGTTTCTTGTTTGCTGCTAAGTTGGCTGGTTTTTCTAAAAATGGGTCTGTCATTTCTACTCTTAGAAGAAGGCAAGACAGTGAACTTGATGATCTTTTTCATCGTTGTAGAGCTCAGCTCGTTCCCAGGGATAAAAGGTCTGCCAGAATAGTTTACTTTTCCCATTTAAAACCCGAAGACCTGGGTTCACGTTTCAGTCCTGTCATTCACCAAGCCTGTGCTCCTAGACGAACCTCGCAGTCTTCCAGCCTCATTCTTCCTTTTCTCTGAATAAGCCTAATGTCTTCTGTGCCCCATCTGCAGGTGGCTGGGAGGGCCGGTGAGATGGTGGATGTGGGAAACCTTTCTAAGTTTGGAGCAAGCCTGGCTTTTCGTGGCTTTATCCTAGCCCCTGCTATGTAAATAGAGATAATTTTTAAAAAGTGGCTGGCATAGAGTAGAGCTCACAACGTATTTGTTGAATGAGTGAAGTCAAAGGTAGTTTCCCATTCATAATGAGTTTACTCATTCAGAATTTTCTTGATGTGTTCATTATTCACTGAACTTGATGTTGCAGCAGGTGGGCTGAGCCCTCGGGGCTGCGTGGTCCTCCTCGCCGCTGAGAATCATCTTTCTGAAGTAAAGCTAGGATTCTGTCCTTGGGCCTCCGGAGCCCCTCCGTTTATGTTGGATCATAGCACAGTGCGCGATCTGTGGTTTGGCTTCTGCCCATCTTCTCATTTCACGGTCCATCATTTCCTTCCACATACCCTTGTTCTAGCCATGCTCAGCTTTTTAAAAACCCTCTTGTTATAACATATATTTACAGAAAGCACATAAAATACGGGTATATACTCAGTGATTTATCATAAAGAAACCATCTTGTAACCACCATGCAGGTGAAGGGTAGAGCACTGTCAGCCCTGGAGTGCCCTGCCCCTTCCGAGCACAGCCAGGGTCACCACGGACTCGGCTTTGTGGACCCACTCACGTCCTGAGTGAAAGGACCCGCCGCGCCTCGGCAGCAGCTGATGGCCGTCAGTGCTTCGCTCATCCTGTTTCTCCTTCTCAGACTTCTTCTTTTGGTTGGCAACAGCTCGTATCAAAGCCTGGCTCTGAAGTGACATCTTCTCTGCCATCGTTCCGGTGCCCCTGTGTGTGCTGCCCCCCATGCCCAGCGCCATGCCAGCTTGCATTTTGCCCTAGATCGTAGAGCTGTCACTCCCCCCAGCCCTGTGCCATCCAGCAGAGCTTCAGTAGGAGGGGAGTGTTTCCCCCCTGGGCCCCCCCAGCATCCTATCCACCAAGCCCCTTGAAATGTGGGGACTTGAACGAACATTGAAATTGAAGCAGCCACCTGTGGCTTTCAGGTGAAGCAGGGGATGCTGGGTGGGTGTAGATGCTGATGGGTATGGTGGGTGTTGGAGGGGGATGTGGAGCCAGTGAGAGCAACTTGCCTGTGGGGCTGAGGGGTGATGTGAAGCAGCACAGGGGAGAATTGGAGCAGAGACTTGTGACCCAAACTTGGGGTTCTGTTCACCCCCAACCTATGAGTCAGCCTCTCATCATGTCCTTTGTGGTCTCTGAGCTGCTCCTGTCTCTTACCTCGTCCCTACCCCAGCCCATTCCTAATGTACCTCTTCAGTCCCCTTCACTCAAAGTTACCTCTTCAGTCCCCTTAGCTTTTGCTTAAAATCCTGCCTGGACTGAGCATTTAAAAAAGAAAAAGAAAAAGAAAAAAGACAGGGTCTTGTTCTGTTGCCCAAGCTGGAGTGCAGTGGCAGGATCACAGCTCACTGCAGCCTTGGACTTCTGGGCTCAAGTGATCCTCTTGCCTCAGTCTCTCGAGTAGCTGGGACCACAGGCATGACCTACAATGCCCGGCCAGTTTTTTACTTTTTATGGAGATGGGGTCTTGCTATGTTGCCCAGGCTTGGTTTGAACTCCTGGGCTCAAGCAGTCCGCCTGCCTTGGCCTACCAAAGTGCTGGGATTATAGGTGTGAGTCCCTTACCTGGCCTCCTGGGCTTCTTTTCATTACTGAAAATTCAACTTAAATTTTAATCTTTCAGTTCCTCCCTCTTAGAATTGAATCTTTGCAAGGAGATTATGAAACAAACATGATTACCGAGTACAAGTTAGACTCTAGTTTCCGGCGAGTGAAAACGTGGGTTCTCTTCTGAGCAGACTCCGCCATTTCTGGCACTGCTGCTGAATCGCGCAGCCAGCCGCACTGGCCATTGTTCTCCTCTCTCCTTCACTCATCGTCTAGGTGTTCACCCCTTAAGTATGTTTTGGGAAAGGAACGTGTTCCAGATGATTCTGGGGGCTGAGGGGAATTCAGAGAAGAATCAGACCCTGTCTAGGGAGCCTATCACCTGGCACAGCTGAAAGTGATGAGAGGGATGATGGTCGCTGGTGTTTAGGAAGCACTTTGAATATGCCGTTCGTCCTTCCAGGGCTTGGCCAGTATCAGTTAAATACACTGAACAGCTCTTCCTTCTGCAGTGATTTGGGTACTTGCCCTGTGCCAGGTACTTGGTTAGCTGCTGGGGAGATCACCTCCAACAAGATGGTCTCCTTTTCTTCAGGGGGCTGACAGCCTGCGGTGGGGGCCAGCATTGAGGCACGCTGCGATCCACTTTGCGTTGGGGTGTGTGCAGACTCAGAGGAAGGGCATTTGACCCAGTGTGTTAGTCTGCTCTGGCTGCAGTGACAAATGCCATGGAGTGGGAGGGCTTCCACAGGAGAAGTCTTCAGTCCTGGAGTCCAGGTTAGACTGCCAGCACGGTTGTGTTCTGGTGAGGCCTCTTCCCAGCTTGTACTCACTAGGTACTAGGTACTAGGTACTCACTATGGTTAGGTACTCACTGTGTCCTCACATGGTATGAGCAGAGCTAGTGCGATCTTTCTCTCTCTCTCTCTCTCTCTGTCTCTGTCTCTCTCTCTCTCTCTCTCTCTGTCTCTCTCTCTCTCTCTCTCTCTCTCTCTCTCTCTCTCTCTCTCTCTCTCTCTCTGTCTCTCTCTCTCTCTGTCTCTCTCTCTCTCCTTATAAGACCACCAGACCTATGGAATTAGGACCCCATCCATAGGACCTCATTTAACTTTAGTAACCTTCTAAAAGCTCTATCTTCACATACAGTCATATTGAGGTTAGAGCTGTAACAGTTGAATTTCAGGAGGGACACAGTTCAGTCCATAGCACCAGCTTTGGTGATTCAGGGAGTGTTCGCTGGGGGAGGTATCAGGAAGTTAAACCCCAAAAGATGAGAGCGTTTACCAGGCAAATGCAGGAGGGTGAGTGGATGGGCAGGAAGCTTGCCAGAGGGCATGGCATGTGCAGAGACCTGAGGTGAACGAGAGGTGATGTGTTTGGGAAACTGTAAGTCACAGCAGTATACATGCTAGTGTGCCACAGAGTGAGGTGGGCACCATTAGATGGAAAGGTGTACATTTCTGTGAAAGTTCCAAGGATGTCCCAGAAGGGAGAGGTGACCATTGGTTGCATCTTGAGTGTCAGAAACGTTGTCATGTGGGGATGCCAGCAGGGAGAAGCAGATTACAGCCTCGGGGGGACTTCGGCAAGAAGACGTGGATGCGGGAGGGCAGGGGACCTCCATGGGGAAGAGCTGCGTGCGGCCAGACACTGCAGAATGAGGATAGCACTCGGCCAGCAGGAATATGGCGGGGAGTCAGTGTCAAGTCAGTGTTGGGTGAGCATGGGGTCCGGTCCATATGGAACGGTCTAGAAACAGTTTTCATAAACACAGAATTTGTAGGCACTTCAGCTTTCCATTAAGTTTCCACTGCCCAAGTCTTAGCATTGTGTGTGTGTGTTTCTCCTTAAGAAGCAAAAGTTCCTTTCTCATTCAGTTCCTTGGTGATTACAATATGATGATATGCTCTTGAGCCCATGCGTAAACCTCAAGGTAAAGACGTAGTGTTGTCAGTGCGTGTTCGTTTTTACAGACTATGACTCGGATGCGATGAGCAGCTCTTATGAGTCGTACGATGAAGAGGAGGAGGACGGGAAGGGGAAGAAAACCCGGCACCAGTGGCCTTCTGAGGAGGCCTCCATGGACCTGGTCAAGGATGCCAAAATCTGTGCCTTCCTGCTGCGGAAGAAGCGCTTCGGCCAGTGGAGCAAGCTGCTGTGCGTCATCAAGGACACCAAGCTGCTGGTGAGACATTTGGAATCGTTTGCATTTTTATAAGGTTGCTGTAATTTCAGTTCATGCCCAGTAACCGTGAACATCAGCTGTGCAGGAGGGCAGCGCTCAGACCCCAGCAAGGTACCCCGAGGGGTCCCCACATGCCATCAGGGAGCACTCACCCATGTTGTGTCTTCAAGGTTGCTGGTTTCCCAGCTCCAAAACAGCCAGCAGACAGAATCATCCCCATTCCCAGGCAGTGCCTGTGGTTTGCATCTGAGAAAATGCACAAGGTTTTAACTTGCCAGAGGTTGCAAGATGGATTTTCTCATTTGTAGTGAGTCAGTGGATTCCTCAAAGCCAGGTCATAGAAGTGGGACGGGGAGCAGCCAGGAAAGGAAATTCTTTTGGAAAGCTTGGGGCCAGTTATTTATTATTATTTTTTAATCTGAGAGGCAGAACAGGAAGACAAGGAACAGGGAAGCAGGGAAGGGGAGAACACGGACCTTGCTGTGAGGTTATTCCAGTGGAGGCCCCAGCGGGGAGGCTACAGCCCTGGAGGACAGTGTGGCACCCCCCCGTCCCCTCCCCTCTTCCTCCCTCCCTCACTACTTCCTCCCTCCTTCCCTCACTACTTCCTCCCTCCCTCACTACTTCCTCCCTCCCTCCCTCACTACTTCCTCCCTCCCTCCCTCACTACTTCCTCCCTCCCTCCCTCACTACTTCCTCCCTCCCTCCCTCACTACTTCCTCCCTCCCTCCCTCACTACTTCCTCCCTCCTTCCCTCACTACTTCCTCCCTCCCTCCCTCACTACTTCCTCCCTCCCTCCCTCACTACTTCCTCCCTCCCTCCCTCACTACTTCCTCCCTCCTTCCCTCACTACTTCCTCCCTCCCTCCCTCACTACTTCCTCCCTCCCTCCCTCACTACTTCCTCCCTCCCTCACTACTTCCTCCCTCCCTCCCTCACTACTTCCTCCCTCCTTCCCTCACTACTTCCTCCCTCCTTCCCTCACTACTTCCTCCCTCCCTCCCTCACTACTTCCTCCCTCCCTCCCTCACTACTTCCTCCCTCCCTCACTACTTCCTCCCTCCCTCCCTCACTACTTCCTCCCTCCCTCCCTCACTACTTCCTCCCTCCCTCCCTCACTACTTCCTCCCTCCCTCCCTCACTACTTCCTCCCTCCCTCCCTCACTACTTCCTCCCTCCTTCCCTCACTACTTCCTCCCTCCCTCCCTCACTACTTCCTCCCTCCTTCCCTCACTACTTCCTCCCTCCCTCCCTCCCTCCCTCCCTCCCTCCCTCACTACTTCCTCCCTCCCTCACTACTTCCTCCCTCCCTCACTACTTCCTCCCTCCCTCCCTCACTACTTCCTCCCTCCTTCCCTCACTACTTCCTCCCTCCCTCACTACTTCCTCCCTCCCTCCCTCCCTCCCTCTCCACCTTCCTTTTTTTAGAAACCGTGGTTGGTTTGGAATTAGGAACTTTAAGAGTATGTTTTTGCCTTTTGTTCTTCCTTCAGATTAACCTTGGGGTAAACATTGCTCAAAATTAGATCACTAAAACAGAAACGAGACTTTATTTTCTATGGAGCACTCTGGTGGAGCGGATTAGCCTCTCTCTCTATTGTTTTCTGTAGACGCAGGTTTCATCTTTGAATTGTGGGAAACTTTTTTTTAACTAGGTTCTTAGGATATTATATATTTTTTAATGTTTTTGTTCAGTTTTTTAAAACACAGTACATATTTTTCCACAAGTGTGGCCTGAATTTCTCCCAGATTTAGCAGGTGCCAAAAATGATGCCATGGGGAATATTAAGAAATGAAAAAGAAGATGACTGAGGTCCTTGTTCACGGCTGACATAATGGCTACAAGATGTGGATGTATTACATAAATGTTTGAAAATACACAGCCAACTTTCATTGAAAAGAGAAGCTTCCAAATCCAGTGGGGGAAGCTTGGTGTTGTGCGTAGGGATGAGCCGTTGGAGGTCTGAGTCCCGGCCCCTCTGCCCTGCCCTCCTCTCCCTCGCCCACTGGACTTCGTTCCGCCTCTTCTGCTTTTTCTCCCGGCTGGGCTCCTACCAGCTTTCCCCCTTCAGAACCAGGATGATGATGCTACTATTCGGAGTGAATATTTAAAAAGAAATGAGTGAAAAAACAGGTGAAGGCACTGTCTCTGGTCAAATGCAGAATGAAAGTTAGTTATTTTTATTATGAAGCTTCTTTCCTTTCCAAAATGACCTACGATCCAGGCTCAGGTGATTCCCATCGGCATAAAAATAATGAACAGTGATGAAAGCAGATGCTTTCCAAGTTTAAGCAGCACAGAAAGGAAAAAGCCATGTTCTTCCCCTAAATGTTCGTTCCCTCTCTGTCTTCCCACAGTTTACCACCATTGACAGCTTTTTTTTGTATCTCCTTCTGGAACTTGTCCCTTCTGTGCCCAGGTAGCTCTGGGGCGGATACGGCGATGTTCCCAGGTTCCCGCATCAGTCCTCAGGGTCGAATTTCCTTGGCAGGGCTGCTGAGCCCACCTCAGGGCTGTCTGCCTTGAAGAGGGGCCTAGAGCCCAAGGCCGAGCTCCCTCCCCAGCATCTGCATTCAGTATGCCTGGGGCAGGTACACACCTAGACTCACTGGGCAGCATCGCCGGGGCCTTTCAGCCCCAGAGCTCTCATGGTGGTGTCCCTGATGCCACTCAGACTGGGCTTCTTTGCCTGCCCTTCTCCTCTCTCCCCTTACTCCCAGTGTTCTCTTCAGGATGGGCGCCGTTCATAAACCTCCTGCTTGCTGCTGTCTGTTGTAAAGGCAGCGTCCCGGGAAGTCCAGCCGGCTAGCCTGTCCTAGTGCTGATACTCTCTCTCTCGGGAGGCATTTAACGTAAGGAAGAATGTGTTGTAAAGTTCCCTTTCTGAAATGATAAGTGTTAGAGATGGTGGGTATGCTAATTACTCTGGCCCGATCACTATGCATTTTATATATCAAAGCGTCACTCTGTACCCCATAAATATGTGCAGTTACAAAAAGTTTACACGATTTAGTCAAAAATAAAATTCCCTTTCTGATTCCTTCCGTTGTTCAATTAGTTGCTTTTTATACTTACTCAAAATGCAAAAAATCTGAAATGGTAAACATTCATAAAAATCTGAGGTTAGTTGAGGTATTTTTTCTTCTTTATATTTACTAAAAATACAAAAAATCCGAAATGCTAAACTTAAAAGCAAAAAATCTGAAATGGTAAACATTCATAAAAATCTGAGGTTAGTTGAGGTATTCTTTTCTTCCTTTTAAAATCAGTTGGATTTTTAAGAAGGAGGGGATATATTTCTTATCTGTATACTTCAGAGTCCTGGATTTAGAGCAGCAAAACAGAAAGGCCGGGTGTGATGGCTCAGCCTGTAATCCCAGCACTTTGAGAGGCCAGGGTGGGTGAATCATGAGGTCAGGAGTTTGACACCGGCCTGGCCAAGATGGTTAAACCCCATCTCTACTAAAAATACAAAAATTAGCAGGACGTGGTGGCTCCTGTCTGTAGTCCCAGCTACTTGGGAGGCTGAGGCAGAAGAATCGCTTGAACCTGGGAGGTGGAGGTTGCAGTGAGCTGAGATCGCACCATTTCACTGCAGACTGGGTAACAGAGCAAGACTCCATCTGAAAACAAAAACAAAAAAACAGGAAAGGACTCTAGAAATCACTTCTGAAAATAGCTATTCCTTCCTTCCTTCCTTTATCAGGAATGTTTAGAGTCAAGATGCAGGCTCTGGACATGCACAGCTGGGGCTGCAGTCCGGGCCTGCCACCTTTCAGGCCGCCTGACTTCAGGCAGGCCGCTTAACCAGCTGCACCTCGGTTTCATAGTCTGCAGCATGAGCAACCATGCTGATGGCGGTGCTTGAAACGCCCCATGTGGCGTGGACACTCAGCACTTGGTAGCAGATGCTATTGTTGCTAATAATTCAGTAAAATAATAATAATAATAACTGCAAAACACATTTTGCAAATGAGGAAATAGACTCAGGAAATTTAAGAAACTCCTTAGGATGCTGATAAATCAGTCGCAGATCCAGGACCCAGATCTGCCCTCTTGGACTGTTAGGAGGTATGCTTTGGCCCCAAGTAATACAGGTAAACAAATGGGGGCAGGGGAAGCTTTGGGCAAGGATTTGATTCTTAGTTTTATAGATAAAGATTAAGCAAGAACCATTTAAGTTAAGTCTCAGTTCTTACCTGAGCAATAAAAAAATATATATATATATATAATTTTTAAATAGAGTCGGGGTTTCATCACGTTGACCGGGCTGGTCTCCAACTCCCTATCTCAGGTGATCCACCCGGCTCGGCCTCTCACAGTGCCAGGATTACAGGCATGAGCCACCTCGCCTGGCCGCCAATCAGAATCTTTAGAGTGGATGTCAGTTGTGTAGATGGGGCAGCCTGAGTTTGGATTCTCTAGTCACCTGGAGAGCAGACCTTTGCGGACATTTTTCTACATTATGGATTGATATTATCCTCTTACTAAGGTAATTTCCGTCTTTCAGAAAGAGAAGATGAGATAGGCAGATACCAAGCAATATGGGTTATTAAAGTATCCACGTTATTATATTGTCTCTCTCATGAGGGCTGTGGAGTTGCAGCAAATCTACTAGTATATTATATGTATTATTCACATAAATATAAATGCATTTTATATGTACATTTAAATAAACATTTATGTTAAATGTGTGTGTGTGCTTTGTTTGCTTGAGACAGAGTCTTTCTCTGTCACCCAGGCTGGAGTGCAGGAGTGTGCTCACTGTAAGCTTGAATTCCGGGCTCAAGTGATTCTCCTGCATCAGCCTCCCAAGTAGCTGGCACTACAGGTGGGTGCCACCATGTCCAGCTGATTTTTTATTTTTTGTAGAGACAGAGTCTTGCTAGGTTGCGCAGGCTGATCTTGAACTCCTAGCCTCAAGCAACCCTCCTGCTTAAGCCTTCCAGAGTGTTAGGCTTGCAGGTATGAGCCACCACACTTGGCTTATTATTGATTTATTTTTCGTTTTTGAGACAAAGCCTTACTCTGTTACCCAGGCTGGAGTGCAGTGGAGCAGTCATGGCTCACTGCAGCCTCAGGCTCCGAGGCTCAAGAGATCCTCCTGCCTCAGCCTCCCAAGCAGCTGGGACTACAGGAATGCACCACTATGCCTGGCTAATTTTTTGGTTTTGGTAGAGATGGGGTTTATCCATGTTGCCTAGGCTGGTCTCGAACTCCTGGGCTCAAGTGATCCACCTGCCTAGGCCTTCCAAAGTGTTGGGATTACAGGCGTGAGTCATCATGCCTGGCCTATATTTTTATATATGTAAATACATTCATGTATTTGAAGACGCTCCACTGGAATATACACTTTATCAGAGTAGGGACTCTGTGTTTGTCGAATCCTGTGATAGATGCTCGGTAAGCTTTTGCCGAGTCTGTGAATGGGTGTACTTTTTCACACTTGGAGGCCAAGTGTCAGTGTGAGGAGCACTGTGTGTGTGAGCTGTTCATCTGCAGGTGCAGACCCTCAGATGCCTTGCCCGCGCTCACGTTTCCATGATGCTAGATCTTCCTCAGTGTTTCTGTTGGAACGCACCTGTAATACCAATTGACTTGTTGTGTTGAATGCAGTGCTATAAAAGTTCCAAGGACCAGCAGCCTCAGATGGAACTGCCTCTCCAGGGCTGTAACATTACCTACATCCCGAAAGACAGCAAAAAGAAGAAGCACGAGCTGAAGATTACTCAGCAGGGCACGGACCCGCTCGTTCTTGCCGTCCAGAGCAAGGAGCAGGCCGAGCAGTGGCTGAAGGTAGGTTGTCTGCTGTTTTTCACAGCCGTTTCAGTTCCACGTGCCTTTCTGAGATCCAGTTTAATTTCAATTTCGTTCCAGCACAGGTAAGATGGATTAACCCATTTAGTTTTGTCTTTAATAGCTGAATATTCTGATGACATGGAGGTTAATCAAAAACACATGTCATTTTCACTGGTCTTTAAAACGCAGCTTGTGTCTGTAGGCTGCTTCTGTGACTTCATTTTCTGCAGTGTCACGATGTGTCTGCATATGGATTCTTTTTAAAATTTATTCTGCTTGGGATTTGCTGGGCTTCTGAAATGCGGTGGATTTTTCTTTCTAAGTTCTGGAAAAAATTTTCAGCCATTTTCTTAAAGGACAGCTTTTCCCCATTTCTCCTTCTCGGAGACTACATTTAAATATATGTTCAACTTTCTCACTATATTTTACTTCTACTCGCTTTTTTCTTTGTTTATTGAAACAAGGTTTGCCTCTATTGCCCAGGCTGGAGTGCGGTGGTATGATCTCAGTTCACAGCAGCCTCTCTGCCTCCCAGGCTCAACCAGTCCTCCTACCTCAGCCTCCCAAGTTAGCTTGGATTACAGGCACATGCCACTATGCCCGGCTAATTTTTGTATCTTTTTTATAGACGGCGTTTCACCACGTTGCCTAGGCTGGTCTTAAATTCATGAGCTCAAGTGATCTGCCCACCTTGGCCTCCCAAAGTGCGGGGATTACAAGCGTGAGCCATTATTTCCAGCCCTACCACTCTTTTTATTTCTTTGGCCTGATTTGTTTTCTTGTTACTTTCCAGCCCGTTGTTGCTCTTTTTGGCTGCTGCTAACGTGCTATTAACTTTATTCCTGTTCACTGGGTTTTGGTCATGGTAGTTGTCTTGGTCTGCTTGGACTGCTGTGATGAAATATGATAAACTGAGTGACTTATTTATAGCAAATGTGTTTCTCACAGTTCTGGAGGCTGGGAAGTCCAAGATCAAGACGCTGTTCTGTCCGGTGTCTGGCGAGGGCCTGCTCCCTGGTTCGCAGATGGCACCTTCCATCTGTGTCCTCACATGGCGAAAGGGACAAGGCAGGCCTCTGGGGCCTCTTTTATAAGGGCGCCAGCCCCATGCATGGGGGCACCTCCCAAAGGCCCTGCCTCCTAAGGTCACCATCTTGCGGGGTAGGATTTCAGGATAATGGATTTGGGGGAACACGTTCTATCCATGACAGCAGTTTTCAGTCCTAGAGTTTCTAATCTTTTCCGTTTGTTTTTGTATCTAGAATTTCTAGTTGCTGCTTCTTCAAGCTGGAAATACTACTTTTGCAGTTGTAAATTTCTTTTAGAAACGCCTGCTTGGGTTTTATTGTCATAAATGTCATCAGCATGGTTTTTTTGATGGTAGTTTTTGGTGGAATTTGAACCTGGTTCTGTTGTCTGTTGTGCTGTTCTTGTTCATGTCATTTTTGTCATCTTTGTGCCAGGTTATTTCAAGTTCATGCTGGGCATTATATTTGGGGAAAAATTATTGAAATACTTTTTTATTACAGCTTTGTTAAGTATAATTTACATGCTGTAAATTCACCCTTGAGCCTGGGAGTTTGAGACCAGCCTGGACAACATGCAGAAACCCTGTCTCTACTAAAAAATACAAAAAATCAGCTGGGCATGGTGGCCATGTGGCTACTCAGGAGACTGAGGTGGGAGAATCACCTGAGCCTGGGAGCTCGAGGCTGCAGTGAGCTGTGACTGTGCCACTATACTCCAGCCTGGCTGATAGGAGTGAGATCCTGTCTCAAAAACAAAGAAGGCTGTACCCATTAGCAGGCACTGCCCATTTGTCCCCACCCTGTCCATCTTAGGCAGCTGCTCATCTGCTTTGTGTCTCTGTAGAGTTGCCTGTTGTCAGCATTTCACCGAAGTGGGCTCTTAGAGTACATGACCTTTCATGGCTGGCTTCTTTCACTTTGCATCCTGTTTTCAAGGTCTGTCCATATTGGAGTAGATTTCAGTTCTTCCTTGCTTTTATTGTTTCTTGGGTCATATGCAAGAAATGATGACTTAATCCAGGGTCCTAAAGGTTTATGCCTGTATTTTATTCTGAGACATTGAGTGTTAGCTCTTAAATTTAGATATTTGATCCACTTTAATTTTGGCATACAGTGTGAGGTAGGGATCCAGCTTCATTCATTCTTTTTCATGTGGGTCCCCAGTTGTTCCTATGGAAACAACTTGATTCCTAGAACTATACTTTCTACTACCAAGGAGCATTTCCCCTTGCCTTTCCCACATGCTTGGGGGTGGTAGTGCTCCAAAATCCATTTATTCTAAATTCAGGGTTTGAGATTCTCAGAGCCACCTAGGTAACTTTTAAGTCAGCGCACAGTCCATTCAAGGGCAGGTTTATATATATATATTTTTCACTCTTAACTCCCAGTTACATTCTGTTGGGGTCCCCATCCTGCTTGTGAGTGTTTTGCCAGGGACCCCGTCCTTGACCTGTCCTGGACTGCAGCTTGGATCTCTCTTCCCACTGAGCCATTGGAGGTTCCACCTTGCCCCTCAGCTACCCCCTTGGGGTGGGCAAGGCAGTCCCAGTCACCGGGCTTCCCTTCTGAATTCCATTGTCTTCTGGATTTTGGCCTAGGAATTGCTCACTCTCATAGTTAGCTACTTCGTGCTTTTGGGAAGATGCTTTCTGTATTCTATCTTGCTTTTTTTTTAAAAGAAGTTTTTATTTCCATAGGTTATTGGGGAACAGGTGGTGTTTGGCTACGTGAGTTCTTTAGTGGTGATTTGTGAGATTTTGGTGCATCCATTACTCGAGCGGTATACACTGCACACCCACTTCCCGCCCTTTCCCCTGAGTCCCCAGAGTCCATTGTGTCATTCTTATGCCTTTGCCTCCTCATAGCTTAGCTCCCACTTAGGAGTGAGAACGTACGTTGCTTGGTTTTTCCATTCCCGTATTACTTCACTTAGAATAATAGTCTCCAATCCCATCCAGGTTGCTGCGAACGCCATTAATGTATTCCTTTTTATGGCTCAGTAGTATTCTGTTTTGTGTGTGTGTGTGTGTGTGTGTGTGTGTGTGTGTATACATGCACGTATCTGTGTCACCGTTTCTTTATCTGCTCTTTGATTCATGGGCATTTGGGTTGGTTCCGCATTTTTGCAATTGCGAATTGTGCTGCTAATAACCGTGTGTGCAAGTGTGTTTTCTGCATAACGCCTTCTTTTCCTCTGCATAGATGCCCAGTTGTGGGACTGCTGGATCAATTGGTAGTTCTACTTTTAGTTCTTTCAGAAATCTCCAGGCTGGGGACGGTGGCTCACGCCTGTAATCCCAGCACTTTGGGAGGCCAAGGTGGGCAGATCACAAGGTCAGGAGATCGAAACCATTCTGGCTAACACGGTGAAACGCCATCTCTACCAAAAATAGAAAAAATTAGCCAGGCGTGGTGGCACATGCCTGTAGTCCCAGCTACCTGGGAGGTGGAGGTGAGAGAATTGTGTGAACCCAGGAGACGGAGGTTGCAATTGGCTGAGATCACGCCACTGCACTCCAGCCTGGGCGACAGAGCAAGACAAAAAAAAAAAAAAAAAAAAGAAATCTGCACACTGTTTTCCGCAGTGCTTGTACTAGTTTACATTCCCGCCGGCGGTGTAGAGGTGTTCCCTGTTGACTGCATCCGCACCAACATCTATTATTTTTTGATTATGGTCATTCTTGCAGGAATAAGGTGGCATTGAACTGTGGTTTTAATTTGCTTTCCCTGGTCATTAATGATGTGGAGCATTTTTTCATATGTTTGTTGACCGTTTGTATGAGTTCTTTTGAGGATTGTTTATTCATGTCCTTGCTCACTTTTGATGAGATCGGTTTCTTCTTGCTGATTTGTTTGAGTTTGTCATAGATTCTCGATGTTAGTCCTTTGTCAGACGTATAGATTGTGAAGATTTTCTCTCACTCTGTGGGTTGTCTGGTCCTTTGCTGTGCGAAAGCTCTTTAATTAAGTCCCAGCTATTTATCTTTGTTTTTATTGCATTTGCTTTTGAGTTCTTAGTCATGAAATCCTTGCCTAAGCCAATGTCTAGAAGGGTTTTTCTGATGTTATCTTCTAGAGTTTTTATAGTTTCGGGTCTTAGCCTCAAGTCCTTAATCCATCTTGAGTTGATTTTTGTGCACGGATGAAGATGAGGGTCCAGCTGCATTCTCCTGCCTGAGGCCAGCCAGTTATCCCCAGCACCGTTTGTTGAATAGGGTGTCCTTTCCCCACTTTATGCTTTTGTTGAAGGTCAACAAAGCAAACAAAACATGAAGTGGGGACGCTGGCTGTAAGTGTCTGGGTTATTTCTGGGTTCTCTGTTCCGTCGGATGTGCCTGTTTTTATACCAGTACCATGCTCTCTGGGTGACTGGCCTTACGGAATTGTTTGGAATCAGGTCACGTGATGCCTTCTTCTGTTTGTTCTTTTTGCTTGGTCTTGCTGTGGGTATGCGGGCTCTTTTTTGGTTCCATATGAATTTTAGGATTGTTTTTTTCTAGTTCTCTGAAGAATGATGTTTATCTTGCTTTTCTCATTGTCATCATCAGGAAGATTGGCCCAAACCACCTAGTCCATCGTTGCCAGCAAGTATCTGCTGTAAGAAAAGGGCTCCGGAGTGGGGCGGGGAAACCTGGCCGAACACTTCATAGCGGCGGCTCTTAAACCACACGGGCTCCATCAAACCTTCGGTCTCTTTTGCTGTCATCCACAGGAAGGCATATGGTTCAGACCCCACGACCAGAGCAGCGGCTCAGGGCACACAGATGCTGTTTCATTTTGTTGGCAGCGGCTGTGGCTCTTCCCACCTCTGTATCATTTGGGATGTTGAGAGCTTTCTTCCCCTCTGGAAGACCTGTGATCAGGAGTTCCCACTGTAGAGTTTGCTTAGACTTCCCAGCATGGAGCTCTAATGTTATTCATCAGCCACCACCGTTACCAGTTTCACTAAAGCCCTGTACACTCACAAGG